CCCACGTCACCCCACTGCCACCCCTCCACGCTCCCACATCACCCGAGTCCCCCACGTCTCCCCAACCCCAGCTCCGCGGCCTCCCCTGCCAGGTGGTGAGGGGCCTCCTCAAAGCCGCCAAACAAGGCAGAGATTCGGGAATACAGATGAAAAGTTTTAACCAAATTAGCCCTTGCAATTAATTGCCCAGCCAAGCAATTTTTAAAAGATGTGAATGAAAACGAAATAAAGGCGAGGATGACAAAAATTTCAGACAAAATACACAAAAATCGAAGTTAAGTCAAAACGCACAGAAACGAAAAGAAAAAAAGCATCTCGCACCTTCTCCCAGAGATGACTATACTGAACCGTTAGGCGCGCATCCTTCTGACCGTTTTACCGTAAAGAAAAAATAAAAAAGGATCACGAGGGGCCAGGGCACAGACCGAGGACACTAACTCTGTACCAAATGATGAAGGGGCCTTTGGGATTGGTGGGAGAATAAAGTATGCCATACATCGTAAGCTCAACCAGTGACCATGCTCAAATACAATTAAGGTTAAATACCGAGCTCACACATCACAATAAGTTTGACCTGGAGTCAAGATTTTTAAAATTTAAAAGCAAATTCTTTCTTTCTTTCTTTTTTTAAGATTTTATTTATTTATTTGTCAGAGAGAGAGCACAAGCAGGGGGAGCAGCAGGCTCCTTGCTGAGCAGGGATCCTAATGCAGGACTCCATCCAGGGACTCTGGGATCATGACCTGACAAAGGCAGAGGGAAGGCAGGTGCTTAACCAACTGAGCTGCCCAGGCATCCCTAAAAGCAAATTCTTAAAGCATAAGTGAATTTTAGAATACACAACCAATGGATAGGAAACATGGGACAGCACGATACGAAACCATTAAGCTGAAAACTAACTAGTTTTATGTTAGAAAGTTACACATTTCAGTTTCAGATTAAAAATTGGAACAGCTTAAAGACAATCTAGGAAAAGATCTTTATACATGAGAAACAAAGGCTTTATACTCTTAATTTATTAAGAGCTCTTCAAATCATTGAAAAGATCAGCATTATTATCATCACTCCCTTAAGATATGGAAAAGGGAGGGGAGCCTTGGTGGCTCAGTCGTTAAGCCTCGTTAAGCGTTAAGTGTCCTGGGATCAAGCCCCGCACTGGGCTCCCTGCTCAGCAGGAAGCCTGCTTCTCCCTCTCCCACTCCCACTGCTTGTGTTCCCTCTCTCACTGTCTCTCTCTCTGTCAAATAAATAAATAAAATCTTTAAAAAATATATGAAAAGGGAATTAATAAGACAAGATGTAAGTGGAAGATAAATATATGAAAAAGTTCCTCATGACAAATAACAGACGTGCAATGTTTAAGATATTTTTGTCTGGCTCAGTCTGAGGAGGATGCGACTCTTGATCTTGGGATGGTGAGTTCGAGCCTCATGTTAGGTGTAGAGATTACTTAAAATAAATAAATGAAACATTTTTTAAAAAGAAGATATTTTTGGAAAATAAAATTTGAAAAGAGTAAAATAATAGTAGTGTCCAGGGTAGGTACAGATTGAGAAAAATATTCATTTCCCTCATGTCTAGTATAAGGGTAATTCATACAAACTTTCTGGAAGCTACTCTGTATTGACAGTAAAAAATACCCCTTAATTCCACATCTTATAGTGGATATTAATGAAATAATCATCCAATGATGTATGTGTATGAATCTTGTTCAATTTAGTTGTAACAGAAAAATAATGGAAGCAATATAAATTGTCTAATCAATGCATATGTAAAATACATTGCAGAAGGTGTTAGCCATTCAAAACAATAAGGTAAGGTAAATAACTCACATGTAACAATGTTCATGATCGATTTTGGAATCAAAATATTCTCCAAGATACAAGATGGGGTTCTTTTTAAATTTGCATATGTACTCTAAAGAATATAAACAAGTATGTGGGTTTTTTTCTTTTTGTTTTTAAAGATTTTATTTATTTGACAGAGAGAGACACAGCGAGAGAGGGAACACAAGCAGGGGGAGTGGGAGAGGGAGAAGCAGGCTTCCTGCTGAGCAGGGAGCCCAACGCGGGGCTCGATCCCAGGACCCTGGGACCATGACCTGAGCCGAAGGCAGACGCTTAACGACTGAGCCACCCAGGCGCCCAACAAATATGCGTTTTTAAAGATGAACAAAGACAGGGACACCTGATGGCTCAATCGGTTAAGCATCTGCCTTGGTCTCAGGTCATGATCCCCGGGTCCTGGGATCGAGCCCCACATTGGGCTCTCTGCTCAGAGGGGAGTCTGCTTCTCCCTCTCCCTGCCCCCACTTGGGCTCTCTCTCTCACTATCTTTCTCTCTCTCAAATAAGTAAATAAAATCTTTTTTTAAAATGAACAAAGACAAGCCCACAAACAAAACAATACAGAACAGTGTTGACATTATGGACATGGTTCAATCAAGGAATCTAAAGAATGGAATTAACATCTGAATATCAACTGGAGGGACACTACCCTGAATCACAGGCAAAACATGTTAGCTTTACTATTCTACAATTCCTGTAAATTTTAAATTTACAATTTAATAAATTTGTATTATTTTAAAGTTTGGCTTACTATGAGATTATTAATATATTTTTTAAAAGATTTTATTTTGGAACAGCTTAAAGACAATCTAGGAAAAGATCTTTATACATGAGAGATCGGAGGAGCATACTCTTAATTTATTAAGAGCTCTTCAAATCATTGAAAAGATCAGCATTATTATCATCACTCCCTTAAGATATGGAAAAGGGAGGGGAGCCTTG